TGCAGATTATTGGTGTCATATGATGTTGTTTGGATAAAAATTATCCAAAACGCCGCAGAACTTTTTTATTGCCAATAATACGACTTTACTTTAGATTTTTCAACTTCAAATTTATCTTACGGAGACTGAGCGCGCATATCAATTGAGGATTTTTTTACTTCAGTTTTTGATGTAGTAAGATGAATTTTGCTTATCATGCAACTTTCATATTTAAAAATTGTATGATAAACATTTTTCCATAAAATCTAAGTATGAAATTGTATGATATACTTTTTTGTATCAACATGTAGGATATACATGTTTTTTCATGCTGGTCAAGGCGGCTATCAAACGATTCAGCTTGACAACAAAAGCTAGCGAGACAATTTCACACATGTGATACCAGCATTTTACCCATCCACAAAACTGTTTGATAAAAATACAATTATCATATTGGCATAGTGAAACGGTTTGACTGGCAGTTTGCCGCAGTGAGAAATTAAATGAATAGCCTTTTCTTGTTATATGGAATTGTGTGACTTGATTTTTCTCCTTATTTGAAAACCTTATTTGCCTTGCTTTTTAGACTTTTTTCTCCCTAATTGCCTTTTTCTCCTTATTTGACTTGCTTTTTTTCCTTTTTTTTACAAGAACTTCATGTTTTGTGTTCATCTAAACACAATAAGCCACAAGAATAGCCGCTTACTGTGGAAGTAGCTGAGAATTTTCCGACCATAGCCTTTCAAAAACTACCGTTTGAAAAAAATTTTTTTTCCGAGTTAGCGTAGTTTTTCTGATTGGTGTGATAAAACGATCTGACGTCAGAATGTAATTTCGACATTTAGGACAGTCATAGTAATGTAGGCAAATTGGACAAATTTTTTTAAAAAAACTTACTGAAAAATTAAAAAAAAACTGTAAACATTTTTTTGAAACTTTTGGTTCCCAAAATGAAGCTAAAACACTTTAAACGCTAGTTTAATTGCTTAATATTAATCTTTAAGGTCTTGAAATAGGCATAATTCAGCTGTTGTAAGACTGTTCGCTTGCTTTATTCGCTCGAATTAGGACGAAAAATCCAAAAATCCTAACCATTTTTTGCTTGGACAACATGCCACAAGCTTTCCTTCGCTTTCACCTGGGAACACGTCGAACACAAGAAAAGATACGTGCGAGCGCAGTCGTACGCTAACGCTATTTGGTCTCGTTGGCTTCGCGAGTATGTTCCTTCACTGAACAAGCGTGTCAAGTGGAGCACTCAGTCTGATTTCACGCTTAAGAGGTGCGATCTGGTATGGGTGATTGAGCCCGATAGTCCGCGTGGGTACCACCCTCTCGCCCGAATCGTTAAGCTACATTATGGATAAGACGGTTCCGCACCATCCGCCCTTGTTAAGATCTCAACGCGTGATCTCACTCGGCCGACCGTTAAGCTTGCTCCGTGTTTTCTTCTTCAGTGGCGGAGGATGTTGCTAGGCAAATGTAAGCTAGAGTACAAATACGTGAAACATAAAAATAACTTCGACTAAGCATAGTTGACCGAGAGGTCTAGTCCAATCAAAGTCTAGCATACCCGTAGACTATTCACGCGTAGGTTCGATTCCCCCATCTACCCATGTATTATTATACTAAGAAAGGGGTTTACAACCTATTTTTTTGCTTTTTGGTTCAAACTCGGTTCAGCCTTGATTAAGGCTGACAGTCAAAAAGAGCAATAAGTCTCAAGGACGTTATTACCGGTTGTTGTGGCTAGCTTGCTCCGATTTGTACCGTTTTCGGGGCACATTAATGGTGTCATATGATATTATGTTTGGATGAAAATTATCCAAATTGCCGCTGAATTTTTTTTACCGATAAAACGACTTTAATTTTGATTTTTCAATTTCAAATTTGTCTTACGGAGATTGAGCGCATATGAACTGTGGATTTTTTTTACTTCAGTTTTTGTTATAGCAAGATGAAATTTGCTTATCATACAATTTTCATATTTGAAAGTTGTATGATAAACGTTTTTTCATAAAGTCTGAATATGAGTTTGTATGATATACTTTTTTGTATCAACTTTTATGATGAATTTGTTTTTTCACTGAGTTCAAGGCGGCTATCAAACGATTCAGCTTGACAACAAAAGCTAGCGAGACAATTTGACACTTTTGGTACCAGCATTTCATCCATCCACAAAACTGTTTGATAATTATACAGTTATCATTTTGGCATTGTGAAATTGTTTGACTGGCAGGTTGCCACAGTGAGAAATCAATTGATGAGCATTTTCTTGTTATATGGAATTGTATAACTTGCTTTTTCTCCTTATTTGGAAACCTTATTTGGCTTGCTTATTCGATTTTTTTCTCCTTAATTGCCTTTTTCTCCTTATTTGACTTTTTTTTTCTCTTTTTTTTTATAAAAAAGTGTCCTGTTCATCTAATCACAGTAAGGAACAAGGTTTGCCGGTTACTGTGGATGTAGCTCGGAATGTTCCGACGATAGTTTTTCAAAAACTACCGTTTGAAAACTTTTTTTTCCAAACTAGTGTAGTTTTTCTGATTGGTGGGATAAACGGATCTGACGTCAGAATATAATTTAGAAATATAAGACAGTCATTGTAATTTAGGCAACTTGGAAACAGTTTTGTTTTTAGAAAACTGACTGAAAAAACTTTAAAAAAAGTTTTAAAATTTTTTTTGAAGCTTTTGGTTCCCAAAATGAAGCTAAAACAGTTTAAACGCTAGCTTTATTGCTTAATATTAAACTTTAAGGTCTTCAAGTGGGCATAATTCAGCTGTTGTAAGCCTGCTCGTTTACTTTATTTGCTCGGAATAGGACGAAAAATCCAAAATTTCAAATCGTTTTTCTCGACACTCAGATAATTTTTGGAAATTTTTCAGTGTGGTTCGAATTATAATTGAAATGATTTTAATATGATATATCACTCCAACCAACCCAATCGTTATTTGTGGCACCTAATTTTGCGTGAAGAACTAACAGAAAAACTAAAACACAACCGAATACAATGATCGGAACTTAAGCTTTATCATTAATTTTTATCACACTCAGTCTGACTTCACGCTTAAGACGGGATATCTGGTATGGGAGACTGAGCCCAATAGTCCGCGTGGGTACCACCTTCTCGTCCGAATTGTTAAGCTACATTATGGATATTATGGATAGGATGGTTGCGCACCATCCGCCCTTGCTAAGATCTCAACGCGTGATCTCACTAGGCCCACCGTTAAGCTTGGTCCATTTTTTCTTCTTCAGTGGCGGAGGATGTTGCTAGGCAAATATAAGCTAGAGTAGAAACACGTGATCCATAAAAATAACTTCAACTAAGCACAATTGACCGATAGGTCTAGTCCAATCAAAGTCGAGCATACCCATAGACTATTCACGCGTAGGTTCGATTACCCCATCTACCCATGTATTATTATACTAAGAAAGGGGTTTACAACCTATTTTACTGCTTTTTGGTTCAAACTCGGTTCAGCCTTACTGCTTTTTGGTTCAAACTAGTGTAGTTTTTCTGATTGGTTTGTGGAAAGGATCTGACGTCAGCATATAATTTAGACATTTAAGACAGTCATATTAATATAGACAAAGTGGATAATTTTTTAAAAAAAAACTGACTAAAAAAACTTAAAAAAACTATAACAAATTTTTTTGAAGCTTTTGGTTCCCAAAATGAAGCGAAAATTCTTCAAAAACTAGTTTAATTGCTTAAAATTAAACTTTAAGGTCTTAAAAAGGGCATAGTTCAGCTGTTGTAAGCAGGCTCGCTTGCATTATTCGCTTGAATTAGGACAAAATTTCAAAAATTTCAAACTAGTTTTTCTCGACACAGGGGAATTTTTTGGAAATTTTTCAATGTGGTTCGAATCACAACTGAAATGGTTTTAATATGATATATCACTCAACCTAGTCCGATGATTATTTGTGGTACCTGATTTTGCGTGAAAAACTAACAGAAAAAACTGAAACACACCCGAATACAATGATCGGAACTTCAATTTTATCCTTGAATGAAAACCAAAGGGCTGAGTGGTAAAAACTCAGAGACAGTCTTCACTAGGAGATTCTTCGCGTAATTTTCAGTTCTAATTTCACAATTAGTTAGATCAAAACATCTGTAATTTTTTACGATATTTCTAAAAGCTCCTTTTTTGAAAGTTTGAGTGTTTGTAAATCGCACTTTTTTGACAGACGTTACAATTATCCTTGTATCTAAAGAAGACACTCTCTGAATTTGTTAATTTTTATGCCAAATGCCGCGCCTGGAATACGTTTTAGACAAAAAAAATCAAATTTTGCGTGGAAATTTTTTTCGAAACTTGATTGCTCGTGCCTAGAAAGGTTTTTGCGGCTAAAAAAAAGTAAATTGCTTTCCCCTAAGTTGGATTTGTTTGAAAAAAAAACGCTAGTCACCCGCAAATTCTATAATATGAAATAGTATGGCTAGCATTTTGACGAAAAAATGTCTAATCAATTTTTCTGTTTTTTTTGTCTACAAATTATTTTTAATATCATTAACTTTAGGGTTTATGAATCCTCAGTTTTAGCTTATAATATTTTGTTGATGCAAAAGTCATACAAATTTCATAGTAGGAAATTGTATTTATAGCATTTTCCTTGCGTGGAGGTAAACCCGGGATGTTTCTAGTTTTTTATATGTTTTTTTTTCAACAGGAGAAGTTTTTCTGCCCATCATTGAGGAGTATTTCTCCAGCATTCAAATACAGCAAAAAATTGAGGTAAATTTAAACGTGCTGCTGCTGTCACAAAATGGTATTTCCTTCGTTTTAGTAATGTTAAACAAACACCACACCGTGCAGCAAAACGAAAACTGGTACGTTTTCGTTTAAACTAACGTATATTTTTGTCAGTTACAGCAAAAGAAAATAATTCTTTCCAAAAATCTTTAACGCGCAAACCAACTACAGTGTTGCTTACAGAGACGCTTATACCAATGGACCAACAACATTGAGTAATTCATCAATCATACCATTTGAGCGAGTGTACCATAATAGAATTGAACGCGTCAACATTTTGGTGAAATTATGACTCAAGTCTAAAAATAAATGATGATAATTTATTAAATCGGCATTTGCTTTAGCTGCCATTACTTTCGCTTTCTTATTTTTGCATAAGCTGTAACAAAATATTAACTCTATCGAATTGCTTGCCCTGCTAGTCGGTTTATGTTTTTTTTGAACAATTATTTTAAATAGCTGACAAAACCGCTGTTCTGAAACATTCTACTCGTAAAAAACGGTAGATTTTTCTTAATTAAACGAAAAGATTTTTTTAAAGTTTTTAATTAGCATCAATGGAGTTCGCGTCTCCCTATGCCTATGATTATGGTGGGGCGTCTTCAAGTGAAAGTGACAACGAGCAAGACTCCACTTTCCTGGCAAACGGTAAGTCTATCATTTAGGTATCGCAAACATTTAAGCAACCCCCTACCCCTTTCCCCCTCCCCAAACCAAAACGACCGCCTCCTTAAGTTATATCAGTTAAGGAAATTGTTCACTTAGACCAATTTTCACTGCAGTGCTTTCCCAGCTAGAAACAAAAGGACATTAGTAAAGTGGTTACGTCACACGGCTCTGAATGGAAAGGTCAGATGTTCGAGGCCCACCATCATCCGTGTTCGATGTTTGAGGTTGAGGCGACACTCCCCCGCCCAAAAATTACAAAAAAACTGCGTGTAATTCTTTCCTATGGGCACAACAGCTGTTCTCTGTTAAGAGCAGAACTGCTTTTTTGTTCGTCGTCTCCTTTATCGATAACTCAATTTATGGAAACTTGGATTCCAAAAAGATCGAAACAGCTCGACTGTATTTTGGTCTTGTTTCGCGCATGAATGCTCTTAATCTAACTAGATATGCAACGGGGAGTCCGTATAAGACTTTCGACACCGGATTTGGCTTTTAGGGAGCTAACATGTCAAACGTATTTACAGAATTTTTAGGGTTGGCCAACCACAAATGGAAGTCATAATATATATCAAAGGGACCCTTTGGAAAAATTTGGCAACCATAATTGAGAGAGGGGGCGGTTAACTACTTTGGTACAATTTAATAACTGCCAACACCGGCAGATTTGAAGTGCACATCTGGTTCCATGTTAGAATGAACTTGATGAGGAATGCGTGTCAAAAAACGTTTTTAGAGTTTTTAGCTTTCGATAAACGAGTACGAGTCATTTCTCAAAAAGGTCATATGCTTCAAGTACCGAAACCATTTTACTAATTGGAATCTTGCTACGGATCGGTCTAAGAAGTCAATTTTAATTACAGTTGACTAACATTTCAGACCCGTTTCATTATAATTGTGAACCCATTGTCTAATTTTGTTTTGATGAACGTTCAGTTCCACATCCTTCTCGATCTATGGCCCCCCAAAGAACTCACGCTCGGGCCGCAGGAAATGTTCCGTCGCCACCTCCTCCGCCTCCAGTAGCAGGAACGGCAGTAGCAGGAACGCGGTACGTTCAGAAGAGAAAGGAAAAAAAGCAAAAATCGAGGAAGTCGGACACAAATGTGATCAACGTGAAGTTTGGGTGCCTAGAGGAAAATGCGTTCACCAGCACTGCTCAGCCGGCGAAGTGCTCTAAATGTCCAGCTGTGATGAGTAATTTGGAAGTTGTTTTCAATGACCTCGATGCCAACAAAGGAACCAATATGGCAAGTAATTTTTATCATTTCAGGAACTTAGCATAGTGATAAGTCGTTCACTTTGAGATCGTCAGATCGTGTAATCGATCCCCTGCCATGGCAAAGATAGTGTGAGAGGACGAGCTGTCACTTGACCTCTAGCTTCAGGTCTACCACAACCTGACCAAATTGGCTGCAATAGTGGTACCACGTGAAAGTTCTAGACGCAAAAAAACGGCCTTGAGTCGCGAAAAAGAGCTTCGCTCAGCAAAATAGCGCAGTCAGGAACATGGTGAAAAACGAAAAACAGACTATGCTTATACAGGCTGGATGGCCTTTAATAGATCCTCTGCGAAGCGAAGAAACGACAATATATCCTAACATATACAATTCTGCCGCAAATTTTATTGTAGCCAAACAAAAAACATTCGCAAACGTTTTTAAGCTTCATTAACTGTTCCGACTTTCATAACAAAAGTAACGGAATATTTGTGCTCAGGGTGGGTTTTTTTTTTCTTCGGACAAATTTCGACCTTCTAACTAGCCATTTTTGACGGAATTTTTAAATAATATTCAAAAGGTAATGTTGTCTTGAGCTTAAATTTGAAAAGATATTTCACCTGTCTTCATTTTTCTTAAAGTTATAGGGGTTTAAAGATTGCCATTTTGGCCAATTTGGGACAATTAACGCGAGATATATTTCGCACTATTAACGTGTGAGCGGAGATTTTATTCGTCTTAGAAGTCGTTCCAAATTGGTTGAAAGAAGCTTATTTGCCATAAAGGAGCGAAAACTATCCTTTTTGTACTTTATGTGGAGTGTGGGGGGATGTTTTCACAAAAAATCTCAATTTTTTTTCAAAAGTTTTTAATTTGTTTTATTACAATAAAATTTTTCATGTTATTTTTGCTCCATAGACCTTCAAAGACAGACGGAACATTCAGGGCTTTGTCCTGGCACGAGCAGTCTTGTATAATTTTGTTGTCAGTTTTATTGAGAGCTCAAAAATTAATAGAGCTCAACAAGACTGCTCGTATATCAGGGCGAAGGCCTGAATGTCTCGACTGTCCCTCAGTTCATATAGAATAGTTTTTCAGAAAAAAAAATATTGAAAACATATTGATTTTGGACAATATCAAAGAGTAAAAGTTCGAGTTTTGCAAAATTAATACGACCGATCCGATTAGCTAGCCTCAATTCAAATTGGAACGGTTTTTTTGAGCGGGATAATTCGCCACGCCTAAATAATTCGCGTTACGCTCTCAGCATTATGAATAAACTCTTCAAAGCGCGCATATTTTAGTTCAGAACATGGCCAATTTGGCAATTTTCAAACCCCCAGAACTTTACAAAAAATAATAGGAGGTGAAATATCTTTTTACATTTGAACTCAGGAAGTCGATATCTTTTACGGGGTTTAAAAAATACATTTGCTGAAATTTATTATTTTGATCGGTAAAAATTGACTGAATAAAAAAACCACACCGAGCATGAATATTCCGTTTTCTTTGAAAGTCGGAACAATTAAAAAAGTTGTGTATCAGCTAAATCCAGGTTTCTCGTCAAAGCACGCGCACGCCAGCGTAAAATTGTATAATTTTCCTATAAGTTTTTTCTATCGGTCGTATCGAAGTTTCCTGTTTATGATAGTCCATATATATTTCGAATCAATGTCGTATTCCACGTCGAGTTATAAAAAGATAGTTCATTTTTTTTCACGTTTTTTTCACGTTTTTTTTTTCTGTAGATGTGGAAGTGTTCGTTCTGCTCGGCTGTGAATCCGATCTCGCAGGATGAGGCTAAGCAGCCTCGCAAAGAGGACATGCTTTTCATACCCGAGGGAGAACAGATAGCGGCCGAGAAGCGAGCGGCAGCGGCAGCGGAGAAAGCGGCGGGCAAGGAAGAGGGGGGAGGGGAGGACAAAGTAGACGTGGACGACGACAGTGTGCTTCTGTTCACACTAGACATCTCGGGCTCCATGGGGGCAACTGTGTGCCAAGGGGTAGGTACTGACTTGACAAATTCACCCTTTAATAGAAGGAGTATGCAATAGGGTTGAGTTTTAGCTTATATGAGTATCCTGATCATAAGTTTTAACATTACCCTTATGGGAGTGGCGAAACTAGTTTGAGTACATTTTTAACTGCATTATTCTTTTTTGTTCCCTCAGCGCTGTAGTTTTTCAAAATGCACCGTTTTTCGCTGACGTTGATGATATTAACACAGCTGGGATTACAAATTTTACTTCAAAAACTTTGAGCAAAGATTAGTTTTTTTATTTTATCAAATGTGAAGACTTTTCGAGACAAACTCGATACGCGGGTCGAGTTGTTCATATTATGTTTCGATTTTCAAAGTCAAGCACATGCTAGAACTCTACCGAAAAAGAAAATTCGTGACAAAATTTTCTGTCAATACGAAGGTTTTTGTCTAACTGGTTTTTTGGTTTTCTCCCAAGATCGGATTTGTTAACTTATTATTTTGTAATTTATAAGCATTCTTGAACTCATTGAATTGATTATTATATTAAGTTCTTTTTTACAGTCGGCTATGCGAAACAACGATAGCTCTGGATCTGGCAGTGACGATGGGAACATCGCGCAGCAGAGCAGTCAGGATAATTCAAACACAGGAAATATGAACAGAGGGTCCTCATTTCTGAGTAACATGTTCAGCCGCAGACCCAGAACTTCCGCACCCCAACGACCGACACGCCGCGCCGTTATGTTTCAAACTCAGGATGATTCTAGTTTTCAAAACCAGTACTTGTCCCGGCTAGATGTAAGTAAACTTCAGCCTACTTTTTTTTATTTTTTTACTTTGAATTGAGCTTTTCTTATTGCTAATACTTCATCACTCAAGTAAATCGTCATAATCTTTGATTATAAAGTCAACTGTGTTCAACTTTGTGAAAAGTCAACTTTCAGAATTTTGAGGGCACAACTATCATCTATGTTTTAATCAATACACATTTAACGACGGTTTTACGGTTCCGATCCTACTTACGAAAAAAGTAGCAGAAAATGAAGGCTCGAAGTAGTTTTTATACTCTCAACTTTAATTTTCAGCCGAACTTTTTAAATTGCAATAATTATTTTGGCTCCTGAAACCGCTGTGAACATTTTCGGTAAATTCTGGGGATTTAAAAATTGATAAGTTGGTCAAATTGGTCTAAAGCATATCTGAGCATACCACAAGTCTATGAAGCGTCAAATTGTATTATTGAAGCTCTGTTAATTATCCCGCCGACAAAATTGTTCCGTTTTGAAATGAAGGTGAACTTATTGGGGTTTTAGAAGAGCCAATTTGCAATAGTGAACGCGCGAAATATTTTCTAAATACTTTTTTTCTACAAGTGGCAACACAGATTATGAATAACACTTATTTAGTCTTATTATTAGGTTGTTGTGAGCAAATTATATCACTGCTTACTCTTGTTGTTCCGACTTTTGAAGAAACCGAGGAATATAAATGCTCGGGGTTGTTTTTTTTTTATTTCAGACCAATTTTCAAAAGAGCTTTTTTTCTCATGGATCAATTCCTGGACCAACTTATTTGAAAATTCATGGATCTGCTCAGTTTCCAATCGGTCAATATTAATTTTATTGAACTGGATCTATTAGTTTTCTTTGAGATTTTTGAATACTCAATTCTGATTGGCTGAAAATAACTGAAAATAAATTTCCATCAGTCGCTCCCTCCATCATACGGGACGCCATCGTCAATGACTACTAAGCCAAAATTGTCGGATTAAGTTCGCTGGAACACACGCTCTTTGCTGTTTCCCGGCGATAATCAACCGTCTCTAATTTTTGTATAAATTATACCCCTGTAGGAAAGCTCACAACGCGTTGACACTGTTTTGCTGGTTATAGTGTTTGATTTTATGCTGAGTGAACAATAGACAATTAGTTGTATTTCAAATATTTACTTTCAAACTTTTACTTGACTTTTACCTAACTCAATTTTTTATGTCTTTTTTTTCTATATGTCGTTTAATGCTCCCTTATATGGAATATAAAAGCTGGGATCAATTAAACATCCTCCCACAAAATAGCCAAAACAAAATTTCGATTAAAAGAACCAATTGCTTCTGCGTGTAAAACACTTTTTTGATTGTGTTATTGGCTGAAAACTCTTTCTTACGACCACATTAATTAACTCCCTACATTTAGTCGCGTTAGGGGGGATGGTGGGGGTTTTTACTTAATCGAAAGTTGGAAGGAAGAAACGAATTAAATTAGAGTTCTATTCTAGTTGCAAAAAAAAGAAGGAATGTTGAAATGTTTTTGCCACGCTGTTATAGATTACGAAGACAGCTCTGTGTTCACGACTGAAGGATTTGAAGACCCAGAAGCCCAATGTGAAACTGGGAGTGGTCACTTTCTGCACTGATGTGAGTCAAAAGACAGCTTCTTTTTTTCCTCTTAACTGAACCCCCGTCCACCTTTTAAACCCTGTCTCGTCATTCGACCATCAGTAGTATAGCGCAACAAGAGGTCAAGCCTGTTTTCGGAGAAAGGTCAACCTGTCAAGGTCGCGTGACTATGTTACTCAATTAGCCTAATCTTTTTTTTTTCTCGGGGGTCGTAATAAAGATCTGATCAGATTAATTTTTTCACCTGCGTTAATTTTTGGGGTATATGACCGGAATTATTGGGGAAATTTTATCCAATTGTTAATTAAGTGGATAACTCTGTGACATCGCTGAGGGAAACAAACTCTTATCAGATTAATTTTTTTCACTTGAAGTTATTTATTGTAATTGATTTGAATCTCACTGAAGATTATCAGCTTATCGGGAATTCAACTGAAGTAACTTTATCTATTTTTCTGGGTTAATAGTTTTCAATCTAAGATAATTCCCTAAGCCCCCCTGAAAGTTAATTATCTTTGATTTAAAATCTTTCTATAAACTATTGAATTTAAAAGTTTTCAGCTTCATTGTTTTCCTAAACTTATATTTAGCCAATGAAAGTAATTCAATTGAATGAACCAATAGAAGTTTTTCTTGATCAATCTACATCTCAGTTCAGGTTCAGTTTTATTATATCTAATTGTTACTTTTCTCGTAGTTCCTAACAATTTCGGTCTCAAAACTTAGAAACAAAAAGTTTGAATCTCTCACAATCACTTCTTTTGCTTGAGTTTGATCTGATTTGATTATTTTTCAATTCAATTTCTTCAGCTACTCATGTTGATTTATCTATCTCTCAATCGCTAACATTTGATCAATCAAAAACTCCAATATTTTTTTCCTGAACGTTTCTCATCGAGTCTTTTTCTAGCAATATTTAATTAAAATTTGCATCCTCATTTGCAATATTTAATTAAAGTTTGCATCCTAACTTGTCTCCAAAACAAATCAGTTGAGTTTTTTTGAGTTCTCAAATTTCCGAATCTGCTTCGATAAAATAATTGAAAATCTGACAATCTATTCAATAAGTTAGATCAATTGAATCATTCTTTCATTTCGAACAATTGATAAAATATTTGTTTCCCACTCGGTTCTCCAAAAGAGTTTTCCTTGAAGTTGTACTATCTAAAGATTTCCACAATCTGCTTTTCCTATAAAGTGAAATCCCTATTAGTCTTTTCTTAAAATTGCTTGATAAACGTTTTGCATTAGATTCTTATTTCATCATCTTGCTCACAATTTCTTTACTACCTTACACAGCTTTATTTATCAGTCGATCCTGCCTCCAATATCTCACTCAAACTTCAAACCCTTTTGCTTGTTCATCCGTCTCTCAACTTTTCAGTGACTCCAGTCATTCATCCAGTAAGATTTCCTTCCTTTAATTTTTCATTTTTTTTACAATTTAAGGTTGAAATTTTTTTTCCCACTGAAGGGTTCAGGGAACTTTTTTTATTTTTCTATCAACGAGATGAATTCCACCCTTCGTTCTGTAACCCAATCATTTTCTAGACTTCAGATGAAAAACAAATAATAAATAATAAAAAAAAAACTGTTTTGTCAGGTGAAAAAAATTGTTATATCACTTTTATTTCTCAATAAAGTACTCATATATTATATATATATAGACCCTTGCGAGTTTTTTTTTTTAAATTTTTTTCCCAAATTTTTTTAATTTATTTTTATTCTACGCAAAAATCCCGGTTTTCACTGCTTCGCAGTGAAAGTAGAGCACTTTTTCTTCATAAAAATCGCTTAATTCCCAGTAGTTTTCGAGAAAATCTACTCTTTTCTACTCTTTTCAGTTGAATCCTGCATTAAGATCAGAAGTTTTTTGCTCTCACAAATAAATTGAACGATTGAGAATGTGAACTGCAAGTTTTTTTTTATTCTTAGATTATGTCGATCAAAGAGATAACAGTTTGTGATTGGAGAAAAATATTCATGTACATTCCATCATATGGAGAAGATGTTGTGATTGTAAAAACTTTCGAAACAAGGAAAGGAGAATGGGAGGTCCGTGATGTGGCGACTATTCCGGAGGTTCTTTTTAAAGAGTACAATAATTATGTCGGTACTGTGGATTCGGATATTCACGATGAGCAAGTAGAAGTTGACTTTTATTGGAATAAAATTAAAAATCGATCCCTCAACGTTAGAGAAAATATGGATATTACAACAATTCCACAAAGTGTGCGTCATCATTTTTGTGATTATGATGTGTGTAAGCAACCGATGACGGAAAACCAGTTAGGACTTGTAATGGCTAGGGAGGAGTTTGAGTTGATTTGGAATTTAGAAAATGACTGGGATAGAGTGATTCCCAGAGAAAGCGAGAAAGAGACAAGTGATAAAGAAAATAAAGAAAAAACTCCATCTCCGAATGCTATGTCCCCTATTCTATTCACTTCTCCGCATGTAAATAGAAAGAGAAAGTTCGACTCTTTATTTCAAAAGGAAACGGACACCCCGAATGAGACGTTGGACAGATCGCATCTTCTGTTATCGAATGGCGAAAAGGTGGATATTCACAGTCAAGCAAAGAAAGTGAAAAGGAAGCTTAATTTTTGAGGTTGCTCAGACTCAAAAAAAATGAACTTTCGTATTACCTGTTTGTGAAATATAGTTGTGAAAAAGAGTGAATTACAAGTACTGTGAAAAAAAACGCATAATATAATAATCATCAACAACAAAACTTTTACAATTTGAGTATAGAGTATAGGCAAAATAAATACAATAGAGTCCACATAAGTCCATTTTCTGAATGTTTTTATCTATCAGATGTGTTAAAGGTTCATTGAATTGAATATTTTTGTAATGGACAACATTTTTTCCTAAAGAATCCCCAAAATAAAATTGATCACCTTTTCTCGCAATAAGTATCCAATGTGTCCCAGGACTTGTAGCAACATCTGTATTAATAATACAAAAGGAATTTCTTGGTAGAGTTTTTGGGCTGAAATTGGCAGGGTAGCATCCTAGAAATCGGTAGCGAAGAGATCCTATAGAAAAAATTATTTTTCGAAGTTGTTCATTATCCATGTTTTGTGACAGTACCAGTTTCATGTATCAAAGTTGTAACAAGTTTTTCTCCCAGTACAAAAACTTCGATGGTTTCCGTCAACGGTTTACTGAAATACAATTCAAGTCTTAAGCTAGCTGCTACAACATCAGGGTAATACAAATGAACATTTGATTCTTGCATAGAAGTTAGATCAAAAGCTAAAACATAATGATTTTCATAGTGATTCAGATTAATTCCGGGTCCATCATCCGTGAATTTTAACGCTTTCATGGTTTCAACAAATGGTCTCAAGTTGTCTTCACACTTCATTTCGATTACAGTCTGATTTCCGCGAACAATTTTAACCTCTCGAAGACCAAATTTCCGATAGTTGAAAGGGTTCTCTTTCTTCTGTCCAGTAAAAGATCCATTAATTTGCATTGCTATTGCCAGGGATCGAATTGGTCCATTATTGAAAATGTTCTCTTGAATGAATTGGTTTTGCCCTTTGGGAATAATATATGTTTTTGGGACAGATTCTATGTAGTTGTAAGCAGCTGGTTGTTTTCGTATATTGGACTTGATTTCCAGGAGTTTGTGTTCATCGATAGCTACCTGTCTGCTGAAAAGAGATGCGGCTGTAATTTTTACTTGGATTTCTTCAGTACTATCCGTGAAAAGATAAAATTGAGGTCGCGATCGAATGAGTCTTATTCGAACATTAACATTTGGTAGAAGTAATTTACCACAGGTGAATAAATCAACCGCAAGTGGACCGTACACTTCAATTTCGTCTCTAAGAGTTTCCGTTTTTCGATCAATAAAAACTTGCGCAGTTTTATCATTAGGGTTTGCTTCATATGTGTAACCTTGCCCAATAGTTATAGCTTCTTTTCTTCCTTTTGTGCCTGATAACTCGTTTGATAGGAATGCTTTGTGAGGATAAAGACCGTTTGAGGTATGCACTTGCTCATTATTCAAAAAGACTTCAACATTTGAGAAAAGCGAGTGTAAAAAGTTATTAACTAGGTAGACATCATCGGTATCTTCTATCTTCCGATTCCCCTTAAGGACGGAAAATTTGAGACTTAGAGCAATTTCTTGCAGATCCAGGAATATATTTCGATCTGTTTCCAGCTGGAATTCGATACTAGCTTCATTCAGTGAGTTGATAGGAAATGTTTGTTGAATGTTGGACCATTGAACATGTTCCAAAAGCGAAATTTTGTCAAAGAGTTCCAATGAGGAATGAGATGCACTTTCATGGAAGGATGGCATTTTATTCTTTAATGTTTCTGAAAAAATCAGTCCGACTGTTTTCAATCTTTTTCTTTATTTTAACTGGTTTTCGTTTTTTCTTTTTTAATTTTTTCCCACCTCCTATTTGTTTTCTAATTGTTTCCCTCGCTGTCCGTTTTACCGCCTTTTTTATGTTAGTTTTTCCTGATAAGACATTCCCCACTTCGGATGCTCCCGTTTCAAATAAATCTCTTCCAATTCTTTTAGCAGCAGGAACAAAATATTTTTTCAAAATTGGGAAAGCGGTACGAACCACTGTCCCAGCCAACGCTCCCAATCCACGACCTCTCTGTCGTGGTACTCCTTTAAAATATGGTAATGAAGTCCGTGCATCCATTTTTTGTGAAATAAAAAGAATGAAATGAATTTGAATTACTGTTTCCGAAATAGTAGCGTAACCCTGGTGCAACCATTCGAGATGAAAGGTATTAATTCTCCTGTGGGTGCGCGAAGCTCAATTTTAATTGAGTGAAATGAGTTACGTAAAAGTTTTCGGAATTGCAAATTATCAAAGCTGTAGCAATTAGTCGTTTTAGTAACAGATAAACTTTCTCTGGAAATCTTCTGTTCGAACGGAAAATATCTCAGTATTGGAACTTTAGTGTCTCCGAGCACAGAGTATTCGACAATGTCCGTGTAAACCAAAACTGAGTGGATTCTTTGTATGTCAATTGGATAAGAAGCATTTTGAGATTCAGGATAATCATAGAAGTCTGAATCAAAACCCGTGGTTGTCCGTAGATCGCTGCTTC